CTCTCGCGGCGGCGCGGGGACGTAAGCCGCTCCGGGCTGGCGGCTCCGCGAACCCGCTCCGGGACCGCGCGAAGAGAGACGGCCCACCGCGGCGGGAGGCGAGAGCCGAGAGCTGGGACGCGGCGTCCCGCCAACCGCCCGGACCCACACGGCTCCTACCTGCGAGGCCGGGTTTGGATTTTAGTCCCCGCGCGCGGTCTCTGCAGCCGTCGCACCGCGGGGTGCGCTCGCGCCGGAGCTGCCCTGGGGCGCCGGTCGCTTCTTGCCACTGGCTTGGAGTGTGGGGTGTCGGGATCGGTAGGACCTCCCGGACAGAGGCGGGCAGGTGCCAAGGCAGTCCTTTGTCCCCACCTCCGCCAGCCTCTTCCGAGGCAGAGGTGGGTGCCCGGTGCGGAGTCCCCAGCCTGGGACCCCGCCGGCCTCAGACCCTGCGTCCCCCACAGTGACAGATGGGGAAACACCGGACCAGGAACACAAGCGTCAAGACCGCGTTCCTCGGAACGGAAGATGGAATAGAGCTGGAATCCCAGACCTGCTGTGTGGCTTCCTGCGCGGGTCTAGACCTCTCCGAACTATGCTAACGTCTCTAAAAAGGTGGCAATGCCTCCCCAACGAGGGAGTTCAGTTATGCATGCGTTTATCCACTCAGCACTCGTTCACGCGAAGTCTGCTGTTGCTGGGCGCTGGAACTCGACGGTGACCAAAGTCGACAGAGAACTTACATTCCATAAGTAGAGACGACAAACGTGAGTAGAATACCCGAAGGCCCAGCAGTTCTGCCTCTGGGTGTAGCGCCGGGAAAGACACCTTCGCAACCTTCAGAGCCGAACTGGCTACAACTCCAATGTCCGTCACCAACCGAAAGGGAAAGACAAAGGGCGGCATTTTCACACAGTGAAATACTACACCCTGCTGAAAAAGAATAACCTGCTGAATACCCCATCAGTGCCGCGGAGTTCCACACACATCATGTCGGGAGGGAGGGGACAGATACCAAAGAGTTCACACCGTGTGATTCCGTGTTCACGAAGTATTTTCTTTTCTCTCTCTCTTTTCCCCCCAAGGCCATGCGTGTGCACTCACCAGAGAGAGCGAAAGAGAGGGAAACATGCCCTAAGGGTGTGGTCACGCCATAATCCTCTTCTCTCCGTCTCTCCATCCTCAGGATTTGGGGCATACGTGCATGTAGACGGGGCATATTTTTTAAGTCACCAGGGCAGGATTTGAACTGTGCTTAGCCAGTGGCTCCCTTAACCACTGTGCTGGGGCGGCCCATATGTAAAGTATCTTATACTGGTAAAAAAAAAAACAAAAACAAAAACAAAAAGTGGTCATCTTTGGGGAAGGTGGGCAATGACTGGAAAGGAACTCGGGAGCACGCAGGGGGCTGGTAATGCCTCCCGTTTCTTTATCCAGATGCCGGCTACACGGGAGTGTTGACCTTATGAAAACTGAACGAGGTGTGAACTTATGATCGGTACACTTTTCTTTACTTAAATTACATTTCATTAGAAAGGTTAATTACACTGATTTGAATTAAACTATATGGGAATACTAGAAAGAGAAGAAACAAGTGTTTAAAATCAGGACTATTTTTTTTTTTAAGAGAGATTTTGCTATAGGGCGTGTGTATTCGCTGGACGGAGAGAGATAGAAAGTGAGTGGAAAATGGCTACGCCACAATCCCTTCTCCTCCATTCTCCTCCCAGGATTTTGGCCACACGTGCGCATGTGCCCAGCGTGAGTTTCAAGCCTCTGAGTCTGGGACTTGAACCACATGTGGGAGTCCAGTGATGTAACCATTAAGCCATCTGCTGGTCCCTAAAAGAATGACTAAAGGGGCAAGCGGGTGGCATAGTGATTAAGGTGCTGGATTCCCACATGGGCAATCACGTTTTGAGTCTTGGACCCCGTGACTTGGAAATCACACTAGGCACAAGAGTGTGCATCAAAATCCCAAGAGAAGAATGGAAGACAAGGGACTGTGTGTGGCATGGCCATTCTTCCTGGGGGTGATTTCTCACTTTCTGTATCTCTGGCAAGTGAACATGCCCTATAGCAAAAATCTCTCTCTCAAAAAAGAAAAAAAAAAAGAGATTGAGAATTTCCTCCAAATTAAGGCTGGATACTAAACCACAGATCTAGGAAGCTCAGAGAACACCAAGCAGTATGACAAAAACTACACCTAAGCATTTAAAACAGAACTACAGAAAATCAAACAAAACATCTTTTTGAAAATGTGTTTATTCACAATAGTGTGCATGCAAGTAGCATGAGAGAGAGATGAACACCCCCCTGAGTGTCTGGGCGTGTCCTGATCCCTTCCTCCAGTTCCCTGGCCTGATGGAACTTGGGCAAGTGCTCACATTGCAGTGTATTTCAGGCTGATGAGGCAGGGGATTTGAACCGCTGCTGTCCTGTGGAATCTGACTTGTCTTGGGCAGTGCATTACCTCTGCACCTCAGAGCCAGCCCAAGAGAAAGAAAAAAAATATCTATCTTGAAGGAAGGAGGTGGGGATTGTCCTTATTCAAGGACAGGGATAAGATCACAGTGATTTGTCTTTGGAAATCATGCAAGCAAAAAAGAAAGGGAAGTCAACTATTTAATGTTTTGAGGGGGGAAAAACACCATTTTTTTTTCTTTTTTTAATGATAGGGCATGCTAGTTTGCTGAAGAGAGAGACGGAAAATGAGAAATCAGCCCTTGAGGGGATAACCATACCACGATCCCCTCTCCTCCATTCTCTCAGGATTTGGGGCATTTACACACATGTGCCTGGCATGTTTTTCAAGCAGACAGGTCCGGTACTCAAACTGTTCAGTTGGCCATGTGGGATCCAGAGCTTTAACTTCCACGCTGGCTGCTGGTCCCAACCTAGAATTTCATATCCAATGAAAGTATACTTCACAGATGAAAGAGAGAGGCTGAACATTGGCACAGAGGTAAAAAGCAACGTTCTGTGAGGGGAGCCACGTGGGAAGGTTCCAGGTTCGAGATCGGAGTCTGCCCTAAATACGCCTGTATATGGACCCACTGAGCCCATTATGTGAGACTGGTTGAAGCTGGGGGTGATTTATGGTGTCAAGACCCTAAGTTTGGGGACACTGTTTCTCTGTTTCTCTCTGTGTCTCACTTGTGGAAGAAATAAATAAATAAACTTTTTTTAAAAAAGTGAAAGAAAAAAATTTTAGACAAGCAAAATTTGAGATTACTTATCATCGGTAGAACTATCTTGCAAGAAGTTTTTTAAAAATTATTATTATTTTTAAAAATTAATTAATAATTCATTAAATTTTGACAAGAGAAGGACACAAGCACACAGAGAGAGAGAGAGAGTGGAGCAGAACAAGAAAAAGATACACCATTTTCGTTCGGGATTCAACTGTGGCCAGCCATGTGGGAGTCCAGTGCCCTTAACTACCATGCTATTTGCCAGCTCCAAGAAATGTTAAAAGAAGTTTTGCAGGGGCTGGCAGGTGGCTCAGTGGTTGAAGCTCTGGACTCTCACATGGCCAATCATGGACCTGGTGGCTTGCTCTCGCACTTGCCCTCTTTCTGATCAAATTAAAAATAAATAAATAAATAAAATTTAAAAATAGTTAAACAAGAATTTTTTTTTTAATTGCATAGAGGAGGAAAACGATGCAGGTCATGCACTCAGATCCACATTTTAGAAAAGGAAGAACATTACAAAGAGATAAATGAAGGTAAAATAAAATTTTTGTTTTTTAATTCTTAATTGATCTAATAAGTTAATTCAAAATTATAGTAACAATGTATTTGATGATTGTAGGTTTTGGATAAGTGAGATGGATGACAGCAGTGACCCACGGCATGGGAGAGAAGGATCGGGAATTCTTTGTTATCAGGCACCTTCACTACCTCTGAGGCAGTTTAGTGTTACTTAGAAGTGAACTTGTATTAGTTGTAAATGTGCATTTCAAACTCTAGGACAACCACACACATACACACACATTTTAAAAAAGAAATATAATAAGCGCTGGACTCCCACATAGCTAACTGCAGTTTGAGTCCCAACTTGGTGGTTTAAAAACCATGCTGGGTGCTGTGAGCATGTACCCAAAATTCTGAAAGGAGTATGGAAGAGAAGGGACTAGGGCATGGCCATCTCTTTTGGGGGTATGATTTCTCATTCTCTCTCTCATTGTTTCTCTCTGGCAAGTGCACACATCCCATAGTAAAGACCTAAACAAATAACAAAACTCAAAACACCTAGAGTTAACATCCTACTTAATGGTAGACTGAGTACTTTCCACATAAGGTCAAGGACTACAGAAGGATGTCCATCTCACTATTTCTGCTCAACATTTTATGGGTGGATTCTAGTCAGGGCCATAAAGCAAGAAAGCCACAAGAGGCTTTAGATTGGAAAGGCAGAAATAGAACTATTTGCAGACGATATTATCTTCTACATAGAAAAATCTTCAGTAATCCACTTTAAAAACTATTAGAAGAATAAATAAGTTCAGGAACGTTGCAGAGTATAAATGCTACAAGAATCAGTTTTGGGAACCAGCAGTTAGCGTAATGGCTATGTCGCTGGACTCCCGCGTAGTCGACCGCGGTTCACATCCCGGACCCGGTGGCTTAAAACTCACGCCGGGAGTGTGTGTGTGCCCAAGATCCCGAGAGGAGAATGGAGGAGAAGGGGTTGCGGCATGACCATCCCCTCTGGGGGATGATTTCTCGCTTTCTGTCTCTCTGTGTCTCTCCATCTGTCTGGCGAGCGCATGTGCCCTATAGTGAAAAACTCTCAAAAAAAGCGCTTGCCGCCTATAGTGAAAAGCTCAAAAAAAAAAAAAAAAAAGAATCAGTTTTGTTTCTATAAGCTACCAATGAATAATCTAAAAATGGAATTAAGAAACAGTTCCAGGGCCAGTCGGTGACACGGAAGTTGGGGCAGCTGGATCCCTCATGGCTGACTGCACAGTGTGTGCACTCCCAGAATCCTGAAAGGAGGGAGAAGTGGAGAAGGGATTCTGTGTGACATCGCTCATCGGGGGGTGCTTCCTCACCCCACCCTCCACCAGGAGCACATGTGCTCTCTGACAAATTGAAAAATAAATAAAGAAAATAGTTCCATATGTAATAGCATTAAAAAAGAATAGAATATTTAGGAATAAATATAAATGAAAAAGTGCAATACTTGTACTTTGAAAAGCATAAATCCTTGGGGCCAGAAGGGGGTATGGTGGCTAAGGTGTTGGACTCCCACAGTGCCAACCATGGTTTGATTCCCATACCTGGCAACTTGCTTTCTCACTTTTTGTCTCTTTCTCTGGTCAGATTAAAAAACAAGAGTAATAAATAAAATTAAATAATTATTTGAAAAATTATTAAAAATAAACGTTATTCTTTTTTTCTCCTAAATATATGGAAAGACATTCAGTGGTTATGGGTTAGAAGAATCAAGTTGTTAAAAATCTCAATACTCTTTGAGTTGACCTCTGTTAAAATTCTAGCTGCCTTTTTACAGAAATTGACATATTCCTGGAATGCCTATGGAAATTTAAGGGATTCAGAATAATCAAAACTATCTTGAAAAAGAATAAAGTCAGAGGTCTCACAGTATCTGATTTCAAAACTTACTACAAAGCTATTGTAGTGAGACAGTGTGGTGCTAGCATTAGGACAGATGTATAGATCAATAAACTAGAATTGAGAGTCTAGAAATCAACGCTCATGTTTATGATCAATTTATTTTCAGCAAATGTGTCAATTCAGTGGGGAGAATATAATTTTCAGCAAATGGAGCTTGGACAGTCGGGTATTCATATGCAAAATAGTGAAGCCAAATCCCTGCAACACACTATAGCCAAAAAAACAAAACAAAAAACTTGAAATAGGTCACAGGCCTAAACGTAAGAACTAAAACTATGAAACTTTTAGAAGAGCAAATCTTGATGACCTTAGATTATGAAATTTGTTTTGTTTTTACGTACGAACTAAAACACAAGAACAAAAATGCATAAATTGGACTGGATCATACAGAAAAGCTTTTGTCCTGCAAAGGACACCATCAAGAAAGTAAAAATCCCCATAGAATGGAGGAAAATATTTGTATATTAGATTCTGAAAAAGCATTTGCATTTAGAATATATAAAGAACTACAACATAATGAAAAAATAAATAAAATGGGTAAAGATTTGAATAGACATTTCTCTAAAGAAGTTATACAATAAACATATGAAAAGATATTCAATATCGTTAGTCATCGGGGAAACAAAAAAATCAATACAACCACAAGGAGATTCTATTGGACTGTCCCAAAAGTCATGACAAAGTTTTGCACAGAAAAACACATCATGACTTTCCTGACAACCCAATACTTTACATAGAAGCAAGTGTTGGCGAGATTGTGCAGAGATTATCAACTTTGTATATTTCTGGTAGGAACTTAAAATGGTGTAGCTACTACAGATAACAACTTGGCAGCTTCTTAAAATGTTAAACAAGTGGGTCAGCAGTTGGCATGGTGGTTGAAGTGCTGGATTCCACATGGCTGACATAGTGGTTCAAGTCCCAGACTTGGCAACTTGAAAAACAGTCTGGTCATATGTGTATTCATGCTTAGGCTCCTGAGAAGAGAGTCCAGGAGAGGAGATTGCAGCATGGACATCACTCCGAGGGGGTGATTTCCCACTTTCCCTTTCTTTGATTCTCTCCGGCAAGAGCACATGCTCTATGGAGAGAATCTAAAATCTAAAAAAATCTAAAAAATAAAAAAATTAAAAAAAGTTAAGCCACAAATTGATCTAGTAATTCTACTTCTAGTCCTATACCTAAGAGAACTGAAAATATGTAGGAGATGAAACCAGCAGTTGGCGTAATGGCTATGTCACTGGACTCCCGTGGTTCGAGTCCCGGACCTGGTGACTTAAACTCATGTAGGCACGTGTGCGTGTGTGCCTAAGATCCCAAGAGGAGAGTGGAGGAGAAGGGATTGCGGCGTGGCCATTCCCCCGGGGGGTGATTTCTCGCTTTCTGTTTCTCTGCCTCTCTCTGTCTTTCTGGCAAGCACGCGTGTTGTACAGGAAAAACCTCTAAAAAAAAAAAACTTGCTGGAGCATGTATTTATGATAGTCAAAAAGTAGAAATAATTCAAATATCTAACAATAGGAAATTGGTAAAAAAAAATGCAATATAGTTATACAGTGTAATATTAATTAACCATTGAAAATAAGAAATTGTTAATATATGCTAAAATAGGGATGACGCTTAAATACTGTAAGTGAAAAAAGTTATAAAATGCCACAGAGAGTACAATTTAATTTATACGAAATGTCCAGAACAGGCAAACCTGTAAAGACAAAAAGTAGATTGTGGTCACCTAGGGCTAGGGTGTTGGAGAAGAAGTGGGCTGTAGGGAACATGAAGAGAATGCTTGCTGGGCACAGTCTTCTTCTTTTTAAATTTTGCTAGAGAGCACATGCACGTGCCAGACAGGGACAAAGAGAGCGGAGAAATGAGAAAACATCCCTTCCCTGGGGAGGATGGCCACACTGCGATCCCTTCTACTTCATCCTCTCAGGATTTAGGGCATGCACGTGCATGTTTTCCAAGCCATCAGGTCTGGGACTTAAACCAAATAGTCAGCCATGTGGGATCCAGCTGCCTTAGCCACCATGCCACCAGTCATCCCTATAGAATGTCCTTTTATGGTATTGAAAATGTGCTGAATTGATTGTGGTTACGGTTGGATAACTCCATTCATATAGTTAAAACAACTGAATTGGGAATTGCACAACTTAACTAAGTGAACTGTATGGTATATTATAGGAGTTATATCTCGATAAAGTGTATACACATAATATATATATATATATATATACACACACACATATATATATAGTGGGTTAGCACAGTAGTTCATGCTGCCAAGACACTGCTGCCCACAAAAGGAGCCCACAAAAGGCCCAGGTTTCCGGGTTTGAATCCTGGCCAACCTAAACAGGCGGGATGTGGTGGTGGACATACATGGTCCCAGCTAGCTGGAAGGCAGGGGCAGGAGGATCCTGACATTCTAAGGCTCTGTCAAAAAATCAAATGAACAACCTCTCTCTCTCTTTTCACACAAATAAAATAAACTTAAAAAAATCAGATGGTGGTAAGTACTTTGGAGAAATACAAAATAGGGAGGGGAGATAAGAGCTGGGACCACAGGCTGGAATTTCAAATAGATCATGTGAGGGTTCACTGAAGAAGGTGAAGGGGTGAGTCAGAGGGATATCTAGGGGAAGATTATTCCAGGCAGACTGGGTCTGCATCTGAGCTGTCACTGCTCATATTTTTGACCTTGGAAATGTTATTTAATGGCCCCCACCTCAGTTTCTTTGTAAAATAACAATAGTAAATATCCTTATTTCAAATATACCTATTTCACGCAATAACCTAGGTTGATTAAACAAATTTTAAAAAGAAAGTAAAGCATTTAGAACAGTACAGAGGCACTAAGTAAAACACTTTATAGTTATTTTCTTAGTTACTACAGCAAACATGCAGCCCTTGCACGCTAAGATGGAAGCTTTCCTGGAATGTTGATGATACAAGGTGGCCATGTAGGTACAGAAGCAGGAAGGATGGAAGAAACTGGAGAGAGGGCTGGTGGTTTTCACTCTATGAGACAGGTAATAACCAGGATGGGGTTGAGCAGAGAAAGAGCAAGAGCTGGTTCAATTTTAACACCATCACTAAAGTTCCTGTGTTGAAAACACATTAAAAGGGGACAAAGATACACATGAAAGCCAGCTCTGAGCAGTGGTAGCAATGTATGTGCGAGGTGGTGGTAGTGGTGATCAGAAGTGGTCCAATTCTGGGGACCAGCAGCTAGCATAATGGCTATGCCGCTGGACTCCCTCCCACGTAGTCGACTGTGGTTCGAGTCCCAGACCCGGTGGCTTAAACTCACGCCGGGCGCGTGCGTGCCCAAGATCCCAAGAGGAGAATGGAGGAGAAGGGATTGCGGCGTGGCCATCTCCTCTGGGGGGTGATTTCTCGCTTTCTATCTCTCTGTCTCCCTCTTTCTCTCTGTCTGGCGAGCGCACGTGCCTTATAGCTAAAACCTCTCTCAAAAAAAAAAAAAAAAAGAAGTGGTCCAATTCTGGTTCTACTTGGGAGATAGATCCAACAGGCTCTGTTAAAGGATTGGATATTGGACATGAGAAAAAAGGCTGCAGTTTTTTTTTGTTTTGTTTTTTTGGAGAGGTTTTTTTTTCGCTGTAAGGCGCGTGCGCTCGCCAGAAAGAGAGAGAGAGAGAGAGAGAGAGAGACAGAAAGTGAGAAATCACCCCCCAGGGGGGATCGTCACACCGCAATCCCTTCTCCTCCATTCTCCTCTCGGGATCTTGGGCACGCACGCACACGCGCCCGGCGTGAGTAAGCCACCGGGCCCGGGACTAGAACCGCGGTCGACTATGTGGGAGTCCAGCGACATAGCCATTACACTAACTGCTGCTCCCGAGGCTGCAGTTTTAATCTGAACAATCCTCGGAATTCAGCTTGTTGAGATAAAGGAAGTCAGAAAGTCAGAAAGGGAACTCATTTTCATGAGGGTGGAGTGTGGTGGTAGTAGTGGTGGCGATTGGAGGGCAGAGGGGGCAAAATTTCAACCTTGGATCATAAACTTAAAATGCCTGTTATGCACGCAAATAGACTGAAGCTCAGGGAAGAGGTTCAAACTTGAGAGAGGATGGATCATTGACTCTTTCACAAAGGTTTAAGTCCAAAGGTTATATTCTAGGCTCTGGGGATAGGTGTGAGAATACAGACAAGCTCCTCTCACCATCTCACCTTCTGATGGTAAGACATGTACGAATTAGTGATCAAGCGAGGCAATATATGCAAGGTCTTTAATTTTCCATGGGACACAATGTACAATTGCCTTTTTTTTTAATATTCGTGATACTGCACGCGCCAGACGATGGGTCTTATGATCTAGGAGGGCCTCTTTCATCCCACCCGGGGATGCCAGGTATCCCACCCTCACTGCGGGCCAGATACCTAGCGCAACTGAACGGCAGCACTGCGCAGGCGCGGCCTCAGTCTGGTGTCCTAGGAGATGGACTCAAAAAAGCCTTGGCGCAGGCGCAATTCAAGAGGCCGAAGAAGCCTGAGACCAGGGGTTGGGCGGGGCGGGCTCCGAGTGCGCCTGCGCGGTGCGCGCTCTCGTCCTAGGATCTGCAGTCTCGGAACGCCAGGGAGGTGTTTCGGTAGTCTCTCGCCAGCCTCTCCCGCGAACCGGGTATCGTTGGGCTGCACCCCGGGCGGGACGTCCGCCGGTCACGGGAGGGGCCACGATGCCGGTGAGGAGATTCGCTTAGCCGCTGGGGTTTCTCCTCATCCCAGCGGCCTGGCTCGGGGGCGCGGCCGTTGCCATGGAGGCGCAGAGCGGGCGGGCTGGCGGCCCGGGTGGGGCGGGGCCCGGTCCGGCCCTGCTCGTGCTGCCTTCAGCGCGGCTGCATCCCGTGGGGCCCGCGCTGCCTGACTTAAAGCGCGGTGCCTGCATAAAGGCGCTCTGGCTCCCAACCCCGCCCGCGTGGTGGGGTGGGGGCGGCCGCTAGGCTCGGATGCTCCGCACCTGGTGGGGCCTCTGCGCCGAGCAGCCGAGCTCCGGAAGGCGGCGGAACCGGGCTCTGCTTAGGCTCCCAGGCTCCAGCTGTCATTTCTCTCCTGGCGCTTTAATTTATGGTGCAGAATGTAAGCTGTAGGTGTCTTTGTGTGTGCGCGTGTGTAGTGGTGGTATGTCTGTCTTCCAGGATTTCACAGATTGTTTTCGTGCACTTAATCGGGGACATTGTTAGGGTCACGGAGAAAACTTGAGCCATTGCTGGTTATTTACTGGTTGTGAGTCCTCGGACAATTATTTATTCTGTCTGGGTCCTTAGTTCCCATATAATTAAACTTTCCATCATGAGGTTGTTATCAGGGTAAAATAAGATAATGCACAGGAAACTTGAAGGACAGTGCTTGACATTTAACAGTAAATGCCCCGTGTTTGTTCTGGTTCATTGCTTTCAGGTTACTAGTGCATTCAATATCTATTGGGCACCAAACATGCAAGGCACTGAAGATATGAACAAAACTAGCCAGTTTTTTTTTTTTTTTTTTTTTTTTAGAGGTTTTTCACGGTAGGGCGCATGCCCTCGCCAGAGAGAGACCCGCAGAAAAAAAAACCCCCCCCCCCAGGGGATGGCCACTCCGCAATCCCTTCACCTCCATTCTCCTCTCGGGATCTTGGGCACGCACCACACACGCCCGGTGTGAGTTTAAGCCACCAGGTCCGGACTCAAACCACGGTCGACTACAAGGGAATCCAGTGACATAGCCATTACGCTAGCTGTTGGTCCCACTAGCCAGTTTCTTGAGCTTGAAAAGAGAAGTTTGCCTTCTTAAGCAGAAGTGAAAACCCTATGCATTTACAGTGCTAAGTGACTGAGGTGGGTGTGTGGGTGGGTGAAATATAGTAGAGAGCTGTAGATTCTAGTGAATTGGAAAGTATTCCCATGTAGGAATGATAGCCTACAAATATCAGATCTTTTTTTTTGTTTTCCCTCAAGAAACTAGAAACTATTTTGTGAAATTGCTCGTTTTAATTTAACAACTAAATCAAAGGAATTTTAGGTACTATGAGCCAAACAAAAGAAATTTGTGGGCTAAATTCAGTCTCTGGAATACCTGTTTGCAACCTCTTTTGTAGACAGACAGACATTAATCCAACTAAGCACAAATAAAAAGTAAATTGTAGCCATGAAGGGGAGAGTAGGGTGCTTTCAGAGGCTATAAAAGTATTTGACTTCCTCAAGAAGTTCCCAGATGATGTGACTAATGAGCTAAAATCTGAAGGATAAGTAGGTGTTAATGAAGTGAAGAGGCCAGAATAGGCAGAAGGAACAGTACATGGAAGGGCCAGTGGTGAGGAGGAACAAGGTGATTGGAAAAGTCCAAGAAGCTCCGCGTGACTGTGACTGAAAGAACCAAGTAGATTATTTTGTGAAATAAGCCCAGGGAAGTAGATACGGGACAGAACTAGATCTCGCAGACCACTTTAAGGATTTTGAGTATGATCCTAAGGTCTACAGCAAACCATTAAAAAAATTTCAAGTAGGGGAATGACTGCCACAGAGGGGAACAGACTTCCTTAGATGTAGTTGTTAGGAGGCGTGATCCAGGGCTTGGATAATGGTGACCTGGACTAGAGTAATGAAGGTAGAGACAGAGAAAAGTGTGCTTTATTGATATAACCTGTGATTTGACATTGATGTCAAAGTCAATGACAATGGGATATATACATACACACACACACACACACACACACACACAAAGAGTATAAAGATACACTAATTTTTTGGGGGGAGGGGGAGAGGTTTTTGCTATAGGGTGTGTGAGCTCGCCAGAAAGAGAGACAGAAAGTGAGAAATCACCTCCCAGAGGGGATGGCCACAACACAATCCCTTTCCCATTCTCCTCTGGGGATCTTGGGTACACAAACACACGCCAGCGTGATTTTAAGCCACCAGGTCCGGGACTCAAACCGCAATTGACTACTTGGGAGTCCATTGACATAGCCATTATGCTAACTGCTGGTCCCAAGATATACCGATATAAAGAGTATCTGATTTACCAAATATTTACCCAACTGAACTTTGGATCTCTTTACCCTGCCCCCCCCCCCTGAGAGAGAGAGAGAGATAGAAAGTGAGAAGTCACCTCCCCAGGGGGAATGGCCACATTTCAGTCCTTTCTCCATTCTCTTGGGATTTTGGGCACACACAGATAAGTGCCCAGCGTGAGTTTTTTAAGCAGTCAGATCCAGGACTTGAACTATGATCTACTACTATATGGGAGTCGAAGGATGTAACCATTATGCCATCTGCTGGTCCCCTCAGGATTGGGTTTTTAAAAGATTCTTAACCATATAAAAGATTCTTAATTATACAAAATTTCTTAAAACTTTACTTATACAAATGTTCATAAAGTTAGGTCATACTAAGACATTTTTCTTTGTGTTGGATTTTTCTCTTTTTAACATTGTCTTTCATAGAGAAGATATGCCTTATATGAATATATGAAATGGTAAAGACATTTTGCTAATGCATTATAGAAAGTTTAACTGAAAGTCTCAGAGGGAACAAAGGACCTACTATATTCCTGAACTGAAGGTGCTAACCGTGTTCACACTTTTTAAAAAATATTTAATTTTACTTACTGTTATTTTTAGTTTGCTCTAGGGCACACACACTCACCAGAGAGAGAGAGAGAAAATTAGAAAGCAAACCACCAAGTCCAGAACTTGAACTGTAGTTAGCCATGTGGGAATCCAGTGTCTTAATCACCACGCCACCTGCTGGCCCCACACACATGTTTTTTTACAGGCGGACACTCAGAGGAGTCAGGGACTTTTGTGCAAATAGAAAATCAGTAATATACTGATTCATTTTCTGCTTCTGTGGCATTTACTTAAAGATTTAAATTAGATTTCCTCTTCTCTCTTTTGTGTTATAAAAGAAACTAGTTTCCTTTTTGTATCTTTTAATAAATTTTTTCTATATATATGTAAAATCTTAAATTGCATTTAACAAATATTTATGAAGTCCTTAATATTATAGAAGGCAGTGAGATGGCAAAGTAACCTTTTTCAATTATAATCTATTGGGAGTAAGAGTAAATGTTCATTTTATTACTTGTGAATATTTTTCTCCACTAGATCAATAAATCAGAGAAGCCCGAGAGCTGTGATAATGTGAAGGTTGTCGTTAGGTGCCGGCCCCTCAATGAGAGAGAGAAGTCGATGTGCTACAGACAGGCTGTCAGTGTGGATGAGATGAGGGGAACTATCACCGTTCATAAGACCGACTCTTCCAATGAACCTCCAAAGACGTTTACTTTTGATACTGTTTTTGGACCAGAGAGTAAACAACTTGACGTGTATAACTTAACCGCAAGGCCTATTATTGATTCTGTTCTTGAAGGCTACAATGGTAAGTGAATACTTCATATGCCTACTTTAAAAAAAAAAATTATTTATTTAATTTTATTTATTCATTCATTTATTTTAATTTGACCAGAGAGAGAGAGGGAAAGTGAGAAAGCAAGCTACCAGGTCTGGTACTCAAACCTTGGTCGGCCATGTGGGAGTGTCCAGCACCTTAACCACCACGCCACCTGCTGGTCCCAACTTTTTTTTAAACAAGTTTATCGAGGCATAACTAATACCCCATAAATTCACTCATTAAAACTGTACAGTTGTATGAGTTATAGTAAGTATATATTTGCAAACCCATCACTATAATCACATTGTAGAATACTTTCATCAGTTCTAAAAATTCCTTTATTCTCATTTGCAATCCCATACCCCAGAACCCTTGATCTGGTTTCTGTCACTATAATTTTGTCTTTTCTTGAAATTTCATTTAAATCGCATCATACATATGTCATCTTTCTTAACTGTTTTCTTTCACTTAGCAAAATGTTTTTGAAGTTCATGGATCTTTTGCATATGTCAGTACTTTGTGCCTTTTTATTGCTCAGTTGCATTCTGTTGTACGGATGTGCCACATTTCATCGGTCCATTCACTAGTTGATGGACATCTGGATTATTTCCATTTTTTTTTTTTTTACTTTTATACACAATGCTTCTATGAAAATTAATGTATAAAAGTCTTTTTGTAGTCATACTTTAAGATTTCTCTTGAATAGATTTATAGGCGTGGAACTGCTGGGTCATATGGTAAATGTGTGTTTATTTTTGAAGAAATGCCAAACTGTTTTCTAAAGTGGTGACTATATATTTTTTCCCTACCAGTATTGTGTGAGGGTTCTAGTTTCTTCACCAATGCTTGGATCCTCACCAACACTTGAGATTGTCATTTTTTTAAAATTACAGCCATTCTAGGAGGTTTATAATGTCATCATGGTGTGTAATTTTTAAGTTAGTTTATTCCATGAGATAGAAGAAAGACAGCCAGATAACTTCAACAGGGTCCACATGCCACAACCCCTGCCCCCTGCTCTGCACCCCTACTCTCAACCGCCCTGTACCAGTGGTGCATGCTCCCAGCTTGCTCAGAAAGGTCCTGGGGCATGAACACCTTTCCCATGTGTGTCCACTTGTCTTACCACTGTGCCATCACCTGGCCCCTATATTATTATTTTTTAGTTTTTTTTTTTTTTTTTTTTTTTTTTTTTTTTTTTTACAAAGAATGATTTGTTTAGTTTTATTTATCATTATTATTTTAAAAATTTGCTACAGGGCACATGCATGAGAGAGTCAGAGAGAGAGAGACAGACAGAAAGCCACTAGGTCCAGGACTTGAAATGTGTCCGCTGTGTGGGAGTTCAGAGCCTTCACCATGCCACCTGCTAGCCCCTATTATTGTGTTTTAACTTGTATTTCTCTAATGACTAATGAAGTCGAGAACCTAGCCGTGGTACTTATTACCGATTTGTATATTTTCTTTGGTGAAATGTCAATTATTTTTACCTATCTTTAAATTTGGTTATCTGTCTTATTATTCTTTATATATTCTGAATTGAAATACTTGATCAGATATGTGATTTACAGATACTTTCTTCCAGTCTGTGGCTTTTTTTGTTTGTTTGTTTGTTTTATTTTTTCTTCTTTTTTAAAAAATTGCCAGAGGGTGAGGGACCAGCAGGAGACGTGGTGGTTAATATGCTGGACTCCCACATGGCCAACTGCTGTTCAAGTCCCAGACCTGGTGGCTTGCTTTCTCACTTTCTCTCTCTCTTTCTCTCTCTGGTGAGCATGTGCCTTGTAGCAAATTAAAAAAAAAAAAAGACAAATAAAATTAAATAAATCTTAAAACAAAAAATTGCCAGAGGTCTTGTATGCTAGTCAGAGAGGGTGAGAAAGCACTCCCCTTGCCGCCGCCCCCCCCCTCAGTGGAGCATGGTCATGCCACAATCCTTTCTTCTCCATTTCTCAATTTTGTAAGGATTTTAAACATATGTACACACATGTGTTGTGTTTTCAAGCCACCGGGTCCAGGATTCAAACCACAGTTGGCCATGTGGAATCCCTCTCCCAATGCACAGTGCTTAGTCACTGGCATCCTATGTTATGTCTTTGATGCTATTGTGAATAGAATTGTTTTTATAATTATAATTATTTTTAGTATTTTTTTCTTTATTCATGATAAATACATGCACATAAATGTGGGAGTGAGTGAAAGAGTGAGAAAGGAGGAGGACACTCTGTACAGGGTGATGTGAGCCCCTTCTTCCAGTCCTCCAGCCTGTTGGATCTTGAGCACTTGTATGGGTGCCCAGTGTGTTTCAGGCTGACTGAGCTGGGGACTTGAACTGCGGCCACCGTGAGATCTGACTTTTGAGCAGTGCATTACTGCTGTTCCACAGAGCTGGCCCCATAATTTCATATTTGGCTTATACATTGCTAATATATGGAATGTATTTGATTTTTTTTAAGGTAGGTTTTGTTTTTAAATTTGCCAGAAAGAGACAGGGAGAGGGATAAAGTACCCTCCAATGGGGTATGGTCACACCACAATCCTGCTCCTCCATTTCTTCGCCAGAAAGACAGAGAGACAGAAAGTGAGAAGTCACCTCCCAGGGGGGATGGCCCACACCACAGTCTCTTCTCCTCTCAGGATTTTGGGCACGCATGCACATGCCCAGCATGAGATTAAGAAACTGGGTCCAGGACTCAAACCACGATTGACTACATGTGAGTCCAGCGATATAGCCATTACGCTAACTTCTGGTCCTCGTTTCTTCATTCTTTAGGGATTTTGGGCATGCATGCATGTGCCCAGTGTGTTTTTCAAGCCACTGAGTCCAGGACTTGAATCTCAAAGTTGGCCATGTGGGATCCAGTTTCCTTAACCAACAGGCCACAGGCTGGCTCAACAGTGTTTTGTTTTGCTTTTTTCAATTCAGATAAAATTCAGTGCACAAATTCACTATTTAACTCTTTTATAGTTTACAGTGTATATGTTTTTAGTACATTCACAGTGCTGCACAACTGTTACCACAATCTGTTTCTAGAACATTTTCATACTCCAAAAAGAAAACCTGTACCCATTGGCAGTTACTCTCAGTCTTCTCCCTTATCCACTTCCCCCAAGCAACCACTAATCTACTTTCTCTGGACATTTTATATAAAAAGAATTACACATTATATAGCTTTTTGTGTCTGGTTTCTTTTACTTAGCATAATGTTTTCAAGGTTCATCCCTGTATCAGTACTTTATTCCATTTTCTGGCTATATAGTGTTCCTTTGTATAGATATATTTTCTCTATATAATCATCAGTTGATGAACAGTTGGGTTGTTTCTACTTTATAACTACTATGAATAATGTTGCTTTGATCATTTTTATGTAAGTTTTTGTGCGAACTTAACATTTTTAATTTTCTTGGGTATGTAGCTAGGAGTGGAATTGCTGGATCATATGCTAACTCTTAACTTTTTTTTTTTTTTGAAGCGGTTTTTGCTATAGGGCATATGTGCTTGCCAGACAGACAGACAGACAGAGACAGACAGAGAGACAGAAAGCGAGAAATCACCCCCCGGGGGGATGGCCACACTGCAATCCCTTCTCTTCCATTCTCCTCTTGGGATCTTGGGCACGCACGCACACGCTCCTGGCGTGAGTTTTAAGCCACCAGGTCTAGGACGCGAACTGTGGTTGACTACATGGGAGTCCAGCGACATAGCTATTACACCAACTGCTGGTCCACCTAACTCTTAACTTTTTTTTTTTTTTTTGGAGAGGTTTTCGCTATAGGGAACATGCACTTGCCCGAAAGAAAGAGAGATAGAAAGCGAGAAATCCCCCCCACCCCCAGGGGGGATGGCCATGCCACAATCCCTTCTCCTCCATTCTCCTCTTGGGATCTTCGGCACGCACGCACATGGGCCCAGCGTGAGTTTAAGCTGCCAGGTCCTGGACCAACTGTGGTCGACTATGTGGGAGTCCAGCGACATAACCATTACGCTAACTGCTGGTCCCCTAACTCTTAACTTTTTGAGGAGCTGCCAAACTGTTCTACAGTGGCTACACCATTTACATTTCTACTGGCAATGGTTGAAGCTTCTAATTTCTCCATGTCTTTGCCAACACTTGTTATATATAATGTCTTTTTGAGTACAACCATCCTAGTGAGTGTGAACTAGTATCTCATTGTGGTTTTCAATTTGTTTTTGTATGTTATGTACTACAACGTTACTAATCATCTTATTAATTTTAGTAGATTATTTTCTTTTTTATAAATTACTTCCCTCCTAGGATTTTCTACATACAAGATAATGTCTGCAAATATAGTTTTTACTTGTTCATTTCCAATTTTTTATGCTTTTAATTTATTTTTGTTGAGTGATTTTACTGCCTAGAATCTCTAGTAAATGTTTTCTGAACGTGGTATAAGTGAGCATTTTTATCTTCTTCCTGATCTTAGGGAAAATGTATTCATTTTTTCTAGGAAGCATATCATATGTAGATTTTTTCATAGATGCCTTTCATCATATTGGGGAAGTTCTCTTTTGTTCTTAGTTCACTGAGAAGTTTTTTTTTTTTTTTGGAGAGGTTTTTGCTATAGGGTATGTGCGCTTGCCAGAAAGAGAGAGACAGAGAGACAGAAAGCGAGAAATCACCCCCCCAGGGGGAATGGCCATGCTGCAATCCCTTCTCCTCCATTCTCTTCTAGGGATCTTGGGCATGCATGCACACATGCCCGGCTTGAGTTTAAGCCACCATGTCCGGGACTCGAACCGTGGTCAACTACATGGGAGTCCAGCGACATAGCCATTACGCCAACTGCTGGTCCCCTGAGAAGCCTTTTTTTTTTTTTTTTTTTTTAAGTTTTATTGATTACCTTTATGAAAGAGAGGACAGACACTCTCAGCAGGGTGTTTATGTCATGATCTTCCCCCAAACCCTGTAGTCAGCCAGGACCATGGGTGTGCCCTGCATGTTGAAGTACGCCCTGGAGAAGGTGAA